TGCACTCCAGTCTGGGCGACCGAGTGAGACTCCAACTCAAAAAAAAAAAGAAAAGAAAAAGGTTTTCTTGGCTCAGGGTTCTGTAAGTTGTATGAGAAGCAGGGCGCCAACATCTGCATCTGGTGAGGGCTGCAGGCTACTTCTACTCATGGTGGAAGGTGAACTGGGAGATGGAGACGGGGCTGGTGTCAGGTTCTCTTTAAACAACCAGCTTCTGCAGAAAGGACCAGAGCAAGAACTCACTCATGACCAAGGGTATATCCTATGACCCACACACCTCCCACACTGGGGTCACCTTTCCACACGAGACTTGGGGGGGCTAAACAGACCACATCCAAACCACAGTAAGCCACAGAAGTGCAACTGGTCTGCTGGGCAGGCTGAGCAGGCTAGACTCTAGGTGTCCGTAAACGTGGCTTCAGGAAGACGGCCTTGGCTAAAGCTCCAGCTGTAGAGGGTCCCCACAGAGCCACTCTGGCAGATCAGCACACACTCTTGTAAGGGGCTGTGCTGCTTCCATTTCACAGGATAGGACCAGGTGTTGAAATGAAGTCCCTATATCTGATTCACAGTCGTGTAAACTTCACACTGTTTAGCAGCTGAGGCAGGAGTGAACTATGAGACACATCTTTCCTGCTCTTTCTTGGGAAGTAAATCCTGAACACATTCGGGGTTTGGAGTGGTGGGGAAAGGGAGTTTGGAGGAACAGAGTAGGGACCTCAGGGTTCATGAGGAAAGGATGCTTCCTTCCCTTAAGGGCAGTGGTGGGAGCCACAGTGGACACAGTCACACGCGTCCCTCCAGCCCATCCACATGTAGAGAAGGAGAGGCAGGACAGTGACCAAACCCAGGGGAGAGGTGACCATGGCATCCTGGCCATGTGTGAGCATGCAGTCTCCCACCAGGGGAGCTGGTACCCTGAAGATTGCGTTTCAAGCACCAGGCAGGAAGAGTGACCTAAACTTCAAGGGAACCGACAGGAAGGAAACACAATTCAAAATGACAGGATCACTAGCGGTTCTTTTTAATCATGTTCTTTTCCTTCTAAAAACTTTGGCAAAGATCAATGAGGAGATATTTTTATAGTAAAAAGATTAGTTTTAAGAAAATGATTTTCAGGCACAATTCTAGGAGCAGTGCATGTGCAAACAGGTGGTTCAGACACAGCGAGGGGGGGCCTTGTGGGTCCCACCGGGCATCCCAGCTCACAGGTCCCAATTGACAGGGCAAAAAACAAGTCTCAGGTGTCCACAGTGGCCATCAGATGAACAAAGGAGGGGCTAGAATTTCTCAAAGCTCTATGACCTTGGGGCCTAAGGAGTCACGCCCTGAACGAGGAAGGACCAGCCCCCCAGGGGAGGCCCCCGTGCATGCGCCAGGGCAGGTAGGGAGCAGTCCCAGCCAGTGTCCGCAAGGTTGTTGTGGAGGGGTGCCTGTCCCCCAGCACACAGGTCCTGGTAAAGGGGACCGGGACACCAGTCATGGCAGGGGGGCGGCTCAAATGTGCTCCTCTGACCTCTGTGGTCTGACTTCCCTCTGCTGGGCAGAGATCTACATGGGGAACGAGGAGGGAAAATGGGTGTGGGACACCTCCACCCTCCATCTGAGGGATGGGAGCTACCAGGGGTGACCCACAGGACACAGGCACAGAAGGGGCTGGCCCAGGGTGCAGGCTCAATTATCCTTTCCTGGACCATGGCTGTACCCACATTCCCACCTAGCCCTCGGTCACACACCTGCAGGGAATGGCAGCTGCCCAGGCCCACTGCCTGGTTGCTCCAGCCCTGAAGGTGGGGTTGTGGGGAGGGAGGTAAAGGGACTGGCCTGCCAGGTCTGCCAGATCCAGGTTGCTGCCCTGGGCCTGTTTATGCACCACTGCGGGTAGGATGGGATGCAGGAGCCCAGAACCCACAGGAGGTGGTCCAGGACTCAGGAGCTGGCTGGGGACAGGCTTCCCTTTCAGTGTGCCTCAGCCATCCAGCACCTGCCAGAAACGCCAGCAGGGGCTGAGGTCGCAAGGGATGCCCAAGCAGCACCAGTGCCCACCTCCTGCATGGCCCCGCTGGGCCGCATCCCACGTGTGGCCAGAAAGGGATGAAGGCAAATGCTCCTGCAGATTATGACCCTGTCACCCTATGGCCATACCTGGTGGGCGAGGGCAGGGGCATCCAGGCACCCAGGTGACCCAAGGAGGGGGAGCGGCACACACCTAGAGCTTGGCAGAAGCGGATGTGAGATCCACGAGTCCCTGGACATAGTTCGGGAACGACAACCATGCCCCACCATCCACCACCAGCACAGCCCCTGTCACGTAGGAGGCCAGAGGGCTGGCCAGGTAGAGTGCGCTGTGGGCCACGTCTGTCTTGTTCCCCATCCTCTGCAGAGGACTCGCCAGGACTGCTAAGCTTGGTGCTCTGTGGGGGCCACCTGGAGAGCAGCAGAAGGCTCAGGTCCTTGAGTCCCAGGATGCCAGCACCCTACCCCAAGCTCTTTCCCTAAGACACGTGTGGAGTACTGTCAGCATCACCAAGACTTAGCAGAGCAGGGAGGCCAGGTACAGGGAACCGTGACGGGACCAGCACAGGGCTTTTCAACACACACCCATCAAGGTTCTGGAAGCTCAATGGGCCTGAGGGCCTGGGCTCCCTAAGAGCCTTACCCAGTCGCCGGATCCCCTCCGTGCCACTAATGGGGCCGGGGGCAAGGCTGTTGACGCGGATGTTCTGGGGACCCCACTCCACAGCCAAGTGCCGCGTCATCGCATCTGCACAAAAGATGAAGGGAGGATGCAGGGCCACTCTGCCGTCTAGGGGCCCGAGTGTGAGTGGCATCTCAGAGACGAGGCCGGGTCTCTCTCCTGCCGGCCTCCAGGGATGGTCAGGAAAGGGACCCACTGGGAACCCAAGTGGGTAGACCAGAGGGTGTGCCGTACCCACAGCAGCCTTGGCAGAGCCTGCATGCACCTGGAGCACTTGACCCCGGTTGCCCAGGGTTGCAGTGATGTTCACGATCACCCCTCCATGGTCCTGCAACACACGAGGGATAGGTGGTGAGCAGGCAGTCATGAGAGGGGAGGTTGGGCCTGGAGGACACCCACCCTGAAGAACTTCTCGTAGAGCACACGGGACACGTTGAAGGTGCCGACAGTGTCAATGTCCATCACAGTCTTGAAGGCATTAAAGGACAAAGTGCCGGCGGGACACAGGAAGTTTCCAGCAGCACCTGCAGCGTGGAAGGAAATGATAGGTGGCCCTGTAGCCCTGGGGAGAGGGATGAGGGACAATGGCCTGGGTGGGAGGGAGCAGGAGGGAGCCAGATGCCCTGTGGGCAACAGAGCATATGGACCCTCAGGGTGGGGAGGAGACCCCTGCACTTGGGCAAATTCCAAAATAACAGGAATGAGACACGATGTCATGGCCAAATGGTGTCCCCCAAAAGATATGTGACTGACTCCCATACCTACGAATATGGCCTTATTTGGAAATAGGGTCTTTTTTTTTTTTTTGAGTTGGAGTCTCACTCTGTCACCCAGGCTGGAGTGCAGTGGCACGCTCATGGCCACCACAGCTGGGATCAGGTGATCCTTCGTCTCAGCTTTTTCTTTTTTTTGAGTTGGAGTCTCACTCTGTCACCCAGACTAGAGTGCAGTGGCACTCCCGGCCACCACAGCCTTGACTGCTGGGCTCTGGTGATCCTTCTGCCTCAGCCTTCTGAGTAGCCGAAATTACGGGCGCGCGCTACCACACCCGGCTGATTTTTTATTTATTGTAGAGATGAGGTCTCGCCAAGTCGCCCAGGTGGGTCTTGAACCCCCGGGCTCAGGCAATCCATTCACCTCAGCCTCCCAAAGGCACGCGATTACAGGCTGAGCCACCGAGCCCAGCTTATTATTTTTTCTTAAGGGATAATTTCAAGACTGGTGTAGTGGCTCACACTTGTAATCCCAGCAATTTGGGAGGCCGAGGTGGGAGGATTGCTTGAGCCCAGAAGCTTAAGACCAGCCTGAACTGGATGCAGTGGCTCATGCCTGTAATCCCAGCACTTTGGGAAGCAGAGGCAAGAGCATTGCCCAAGCCACAGGGTTGAGATCAGCCTGGGCAACTTGGCGGGATCTCGACCCTACAATAAATCAAAACAAAAATTAGGCATCTTTGGTGAGGGTCACATTGAGTAGCAACATGCATCAGGGGCGTCTTTAGTAGTCAGTATCATGGCAGAAGACCTCAAGACCAAAATCAAGAACTATAAGACTGCCCCTTTTGACAACTGCTTTCCCAACCAGAACCAAACCAGGAACTGCTGGCAGAACTACCTAGACTTCCACTGCTGTGAGAAGGCAAGACTACTATAGGGGGTGATGTCTCTGTATATGAATGGTGTGTGTACAAGTCACTCCGTCCCATATCTTGGGTCTCAACCTGGGATGATCGCTGGGCTGAAGGCACGATTCCCGGGAAGATCTGAACTGGCTACACCCCACCTCTGCTATATCCTCCATCCTTCTCCCAGGGTGGCTAAAGGGGGACCTGGATACATGGTGTTTCCCACTTTGGAACCCTGAATCATGATTTAACAACTAATAAAAACTTACTGGGAAAAAAAAATTAGCTGGACGTGGTGGCACAAGCCTGTAGTTCGAGCTACTTGGAAGGTTGAAGTGGAAGGATCATCTAAGCCCAGCAAATCGAGGCTGTGGTGGCTGTGAGCTTGCCACTGCACTCCAGCCTGGATGACAGAGTGAGATCCCAATTCAAAAAAAAAAAAAGCCGGGCTCGGTGGCTCAGCCTGTAATCCCGTACCTTTGGGA